AAAAAAATCACCACCCGCCAATCAAACTAAATATTCTAAAGAGCTTGTCCAACAAGTACTGAAACAAGCAGCATGGTTTTCCTCGCTCGGGCAGAGTTTTATATTCTAGTTATCAACCTTACATCTTTGTACTCATGTAAGATACAGTGTATGAGGAAACGTGTAACAGACTACTATATTGCCTGTGGATTCATGATGAGTCACAACACATATCATTTCTCGAAAAGTTTTACCTATCTTAACCATAAAAAATAAGGAATTGAAATCAACAAAAGTCGACGTATTTTCTAGAAAGTAGAATACTCTGGATCAACAAAGGCCAACGTCCTGGGTTGTCCTACATGAATTATTTTGAAATGAGAAAAGCCAAATACACCAATAGATCAACCTTTTTCTCCAAATGCATAATGTTGCGATGCATGAAAAAACAAATTAAACCCTCTGGTTGTATTTTGCTAGAAAAATATTAAAATACTCTTCAGAGAATAATTTTTTCCTATCTGTCACCCTCATTTTTTATTGGGAACAGGGTATAAATTATGCTCAGAAAGCTGCTTTCAGCTTTGTATTTTACAAAATTAAAAAAAGCTTTGGTTTTTCTTTTTTAAGGCCAGGAAACATAATCTAAAGCCGACCATTTACTCGGTGCAACATCAAGCTCCTACCTATCTTCTTAAACTTTTGAAATTCCTATAGCTCAGGGTTTCAAGTTCTTTTAGAACTTCTATATTCAGGTTGAAATACAGTGAATCTGCAGCTTCCGGTAACACAAACTTTAAGAAGAACGAAAAATGATAAACAGACGCACTTCACTCGGATAACAACAACAACAACAAATCCAATGTAATCCCAAAAGTGGGGTCTGGGGAGGGTAGTTTGTACGCGGACCTTACCCCTACCCTGTTGTAAGGCCCCGTAAAATTTTTCCTAAAAACCCGGATTCCGTGATGCCGAAGTAGGCATAGAGGTTAATAATAGTAGAAATTCTTCGCGGCGAGCTTGCTCGTCGCGGTTCGGACTTTTGGGATTGAACAGTGCGTTGGGGAGTTGAAGAAAATGTTGGGCAGAAGTAGGCATTTCTACGGCCTATTCTGCGACCGCAGAACCACTATGCGGACCGCAGAATGGTCGCAGAGTGGGTCAGTTTTCTGGGTCATTTTGATGTCAAATTTCGCGGCCATTATGCGACCGCATAACCACTTCGCGGGCCGCACTCTTGTCGCATATCCCGCTTTGGGATTTTTCAGAGGGAGGTTCTGCGGTGCATTATGCGACCGCAGAACAGGTCTGCGGGCCGCATAGTGACCGCAGACCTGGTCAGTTCCTTTCCAGTTTTGGCACCCAAATTTCGCGGTCATTTCGCTGACCGCATAATTATTATGCGGTCGCATATGCGACCGCAGAACCTATTCCGAAGCTTCATTTTTGGGGTTTTTAAACCCGACCCTATTCCGTTAAAACACCTACCTTGGTCCATTTTGAACTTATTTTCTGATATTTTTAGAGTGAGAGAGAGGGTCCTAGAGGGAGAAAGTGATCTTCATCAAATTTCTCTTCAATTCTCACTTAAAACCTTGAAGATTATCAAGAGAGGCACCTAGATCTTCTTCCTAAGAGGTAAGATTCTATCACCCCAAACTCTTAATTTCAAAATGTAACTAGAATGGACCATTAGTAAGGTAATTCACGGGGATGGGAGTGCTTACCTTGTATGCATGTGTTCCTAAGGTATGTGGGGAGGTTGTGAGTTAAAGATAGAAAAGAATGGGGTGTGGGTTGGTGGAGTCTTTCATAAAAAGGGCCATGAAACCTTAATACACACATAGTGTTTGATAGAATGCTCAAGTGAGCTAGAATTATGATCGTTTTCCTAATTTTGGGTTCAATTTTGCTATATTGCTAAAATAGATTGAAGTTGCTAATATTCCGGAACATCTTAGAGTTTTAAGAGGCTCAATTGAGGTATGTTGGCTAAACCCCCTCTTCTTAGAATTGAATCTCACGGTATTCATGCAATCGACGTAAGTCCCAAATTGAACGTCTTAGAAATTGCTATCCCGAATGTGCTTGCTTTGCAAATATATGTGTAATAAGTATTCCCATGCTTTCATCATGTTATCTCGTCATCTGAGGAAATGTTCAAGACTTAGAATATGTACTAATATGCCTAGACTTCAAGTCAAATTCGATTAAAGACGGTTATGCCAAATTGTGTGAAAAGCCTCTATGTGCCTTGAATTCTAAATTGCTCACATGTGAAATCAAGAGTCTTGAATGAAAACCATGTTGTTACTGATGATAATAATGATGTGGAATTGTGGAAAAGAACTCGAATTATGAAATAAGGCCAAGTGCCAAGAACGACTTTATAATTTAAAGCCACTTGTGCCAATGTGCTGAAAAGATGGGAAAGAAATATGAAGTAAGATGATCGATTGAAATGGTTGATGTCTCGAATGAGATGGCTTAGCCGATCGGGCCGAGATCGGACTCCTAACACGGTGGTATTGTGAGTGAAATTATGAACATGGTTGATGTCTCGAATGAGATGGCTTAGCCGATCGGGCCAAGATTGGACTCCGTGTAATAACACGGTAGTATTGTGAATGAAATAGTGAATATGGTTGATGTCTCAAATGAGATGGCTTAGCCGGTCGGGCCGAGATCGGACTCCGTGTAAGAACACGGTGGTATTGTGGACTGTGGTATACTGGCATAAAACCATCCAACCTAATAACGTGGCAATTGACTTGAAAATCTAAGTGATCTTTCACTTGACGTTTTAGTGTTACTTACAGTTCATATTGCTTCTTGACTGTTTCCCTTGTGTTACTATTCATTTTATTGAAATGGTGTTTAGTTTTCATACTAGTACTATTCGACAGTACTAACGTCCCTTTTGCCGGGGCGCTGCATCTTTAAATGGATGCGGGTGGTTCCATAGCAGACAGTGTTGATCACAGATAGGTGCTGCATCATCTTCTCAGCGGACTCGGTGAGCCCCATTTCATTCTGGGGTCATGTAATATATCTTTTGTTTATATTGTTGTACTTTTTGAGGTATAGCCGCCTTATTGCCGGTACCTTCTTTACACTCTTTTATATCTTTAGAGGCTCCGTAGACACCATGTGGGTTGTATATGGGTGCTAGAAAGGTCAAACGGATTATGTTGTATTTTGGATTTTTGTTCCACTAAATCACAAAATGTATGTATTCTGAAACTTAACAGGGAAGTAGCAAAATGAAATGGTTTAGTAATGTCTATATATATGGTCCTTCTACTGTTTAGCTAATAAAAAACATGCCTTTTCTTATCATAAGTGAGTTGGGTAGAAAGTGTCTAACAGGCTTGCTCGACCGGGCCCACTCGGTTGAGCGCCGGTCGCGCTCCCCGAGGTTGGGGCGTGACACTTGTGAAGGTAGAGAGGTTGTTTCCGCAATTCACTCGGATAATAAAACAAAATCAACTTACAGTACAAGGGTACAAGTTAGTTTAGGCAGTTAAATGGAATCCACTACCTTAGCATGCGATTTCCGTTGACCAATAAATCCAATTGAGCTGAGACAGAGGCTTTCCAAGATTCAAGATCACTATTTTCTTTCTCCTGCAATGAAAAAAGAGCTTGTTTTTTATGACAAAAATGTGTGCTTTAGTCTGCTCATTAGCAAACAACAAAGATAGTCATACAGACCATATTATCTTTCCATATCAGGAGATCTTTGATCTCCAATTTGCTTTTTTCTAAAAGTTCTGAAACTTGAGAAAGTTCTTTGTCTAGCTCAGGCAAAATGTCACCTTGCCTCTTGCTCAGCTCTTTAATGTACTGCTCCAGGACAGATAAATTCAACTCAAGCGCTCTCACCTTCTGCAACAGTATTTTTAGGACTGCATCCCCGTGAGTTCTTCCATTTGATTGCTTCCTACGTTTTGTTGTAAAATCAGGGGTAGTGGTTTCTTTCTTTGCTTCATCCAATTTAAAACTTTGCTCTACATCAAAACTTTCTACCCCTTTATTTGTCGGTTCAACCACATTTTGAACGACACCCTTTGTCTCATGGTAGTTAGAACCTGAATCTGGTATCATAGGCAGCATAGCAGTTTTATTAAAATTTTCCGTTTTATCAGCAGAAGGTTCGGGGGAACTTACAATAAGATCCTCAAGCATTTGCTCTATTGCATCAATACCATACACCTCGACAAAACTTATAGTGCAATAAAATTCAGAACCATAATGAGTGAGTAAATTCAGCTTCAAGTATCTAAGCCATTTTGGTTCGGGCAGCTTAAAACACTGAGCATGCTTGACATTTTCGGCAACAAAAGTCCCCAGCGGATTCCACGTCTCAGTTGGATATACCAAACTCCCAGATAACTCAAATTCTTTAAGCATAGATGAATAATGCTCGAAATTTGCAATTTTGACTGCATCAACTAGAGTTTCATCAGCAAGCTCAATAACAAAGAATTTCCCACCCACTGAACAAGGATTCCTGAGATACTTATCATGATCCTTGTTCAGCACGTTGTTTGCTCCTTTCGCTTCTTTATTGTGGGCCACCACTTTAGCACCCTTGGATGATGAGGCATAATTATAAGGCGTACCGTCAGGCTCAAGCCTATGGGTTATATTTACTAACTGACTTGTTGTGCTACCTCTCTTTCCTTGCTTTGTAATGTTTCTGAATTCTTCAAGATTCGGATAGGTCAAGTGAGTTCTTCCATTTAGTAGCCGATCTTCATTATGCCTGTTATGCTTTATTGGTGGCTGCATTTGGCATATTAACATATTGTAACCTAAAATAGTTGATACTACATCCTCCAATGCACTTGTTCTCTGAAGTGAATTCTCAGGGGTTGCATTGCTATCCTTAGGACTACAAGAATCATTAATCTTCACTGATATGTTGAGTTCCAATAGTACTTCAGATTTGCAGCTCTTCTCTCCACTTTCTAGAAGTGGTTGAGTGGAGTTGTGAAACTCTCTATCGTTAACAGAATTGGTTACAGTCTCAGCATAGGCGAGAGAATTCCCTGCATCAATTCCGTCGGAAAAATGTATAACTCGGAGAACTAATATATGAGCTATGAGAGACCCTTGCTCGCCTATTTCTCTTTATAACTACATTACTCTCCACATGCTAAACTAGTGAAATTGATTTTTGGGTGAGAGTTAAAGGACCAACAAACATGAAAAGCAAAAGAATTTTGAACGAACAACACCATAATCAGAGGAAAACAAAAGAATATTAGAAGCTACCAAAAGCTTCACAGGAAAATCTGAGTCTAAAAGGCAAAAAGCTTACTCATTCCAGGTGTCCACGCCAAATCAATAAATATGTAGCATGTGTCGTCTTTTTCTCTTTAACTTAAACCATGGTTAATAATATGTGTTTTCCAGCTGATTTTAAGGAAAAATCTAAGAAAAGATCAAAATTTTCAAACTTATTCACTCACCTTTTATACTCCATAAAAAATAGCAGCATCACCATATGTAAAAATGTGAAACAACAATAAACTTCAAATATTAGAAGAAATCACTTTAAAAATCATAGCTCTGTCTCATAATCAACAAAAAAAATTTAACAACCAAACCTAAGTCGATTCAGTTGTATCTAAGCTCCACCTAGAGTTAAATTAACTAAATTTGGTACAAACACTGTGCCCAAGTAATTGTAACATTTAATAGCACTGAGTTACAGTAAATGTACATTTAAGAGTACAGCAAAACCATTAACCAAGAAACTAAAAAAGGGTCATTAGCAAATTAGCATACACATAAAAACCTATATATGGTTTTCTAATTAGCAATTTAGAATACAATTAAACAATCATTACAATAAACTATCATGTAAAAAACCCAAATGGGTAAACGAATTTTACCTGCATTTCCATGAACAAACTGAGAATAAAAAAGGAGAAGGGCGCAGAAAAATGAAAAGAAGAGCGGCAAAGACAGCTCCCGGAAGCTCTTTTTATTGGGGCCATTATGATCTTGTCTTGAAACTACATCTTTGTTTTCGACATTACGAAGTTTCTTCATTTCTCAATACTAAGTTTCATCATTTTCCTAATTCTATACAATTTTTTTTCCTTTTTTTTTTGGGGGGGTTGG